TCTCTCTCTCTCTCTCTCTCTCTCTCTCTCTCTCTCTCTCTCTCTCTCTCTCTCTTTCTCACACACACACACACACACACACACACACACACACGCGCGCGCACACACACACTCACATACACACGCACATACATTCTCTTGTCTATTGATGGGGAGGGCCACCTGCTGGAAACTGAGTCCAGCGTCCCATGAACATCGTGAATAAAGCACCAACTGGGAACCCAAACACACACTATCTTTCAGTTGTGTATAGCGAACATGACAAAACATATATACAGCATAATCACTACCTTACCCTTCCCGAACCACATAAACAAAAGAACTACGGGCTGCGCACCCGTGAGGGTCCCCAAACTTTTTTCGCCCCCTAAGAACAAGACTTTGAGTCCTGGTCGCCTGCCGCCAGAAATGCGACACCTCGCCAGAAATGCGACACCTTGACACAGATTCCGAAGCCCACTATACCGCAGCCTTAGGGCTTTGAAATTGGAAAAAAAAAAGAAAAAAAAAAAAGGTTCGTCCTTTCCGTGGTCGGATCGTGACTTTGGAGCTAGGTTCGTGTCGAAGGGAGTGCCGAGGGCAATGGGGGATGGTTGTGGCGTCACATATCGCGTTTGACAACAAGAACCCAGGCGATTTAGGCCTTGGGCTTGTAGTGGAACAGGTTGTGTTGGACGACTCATCATCCTGTCTGTTCTCCGGTCGCATCCGACAGCGGATGTGCAAGCCCTACTGGCAGCGCGGCAAGCTGATAGAGGTGTCTTGAGCCGCTTCAGCAAGTGGGGAAAACAGGGGTTAGCGCGGGAAGCTATGGTTGCAGACAGATGAGTCATGGTGAGGAACTTCACATGTTCTTGTCGTGGGCATCCTGCCCTGTCGATGCAATAGCTGGCAGCGCGCTCATGCTACTAGGACATCTGGCATAACTGTCCGATCTGCGACGACTACCTTAGCTGGCCGGTTCCAGGGCTTCCACGTGGATGAGACCGTGCCTCGACACGTGGACCGTGGCGCTAGAGGTGACCAGAGGATGCCGTCGTGAGGAGGAGCACACCAGTCGGGGAAACAAACATTGGCAATCCTAAGCTCGGTCAAGCGTCAGGCATCGTTCGAACAGGCTTGGGGTATCCAATGTTGGACGTCCAAGCCGCCGCGGCACTCTTCGCAAATGTGTTTGGCGATTACAGTTGGTCACTGATTTCCGTTGTCTAACTGGCGAGTAGGACGAAGGTGGAAAGCTGCGCCCGCAGTTTTTGAATTGAAATCTTTGTCATGTTTTGCGGGTGGTAGAGTGAGGCCGTTTGGTCCCTGTGGGACCAGGAGTCCTACGTTGGCTGGAAACTGATTGCTTGATCCGTGTTCTGTGTCATCAACTCTGGATGCATAATTGATGGAAATGCCCAACGAAGAGGTAGGTGATCGGGGAAGAGTGGAGCTATTGCCTTTAGGAGTGGGAAACGGGTATTCAGTTGTGATGTGCGGGGAGACGACCAAGGGTGGAGTAGAGCAGGCTTCGGGTGTAGTGTAGCAGAGGACCGGTCTGCAGAATCTTCGTCTTGTATATCTGCACGACCACCTTAGTCTGTCGGCCTCAGTCCGCTGTCACGTGCATGCGTGTGTGTGTGTTTGTCGTGAGAGCAAGCCGTCGAGGGGTCGGCGGAGAGAGAGAGAGAGAGAGAGAGAGAGAGAGCACGTGCATGCGTGTGTGTGTTTGTTGCAAGAGCAAGCCGTCGAGGGGTCGGGAGAGAGAGAGAGAGAGAGAGAGAGAGAGAGAGAGAGAGATGAGCTGGGTGTGATAGGTTGCGGGACGTTCAATGGTGATGACAGAAGGCGTTTCCGTGGCGAAGGGATGAGAGGGCAGCCATGCATGGAGAAAGGACGATTCTTAAGGTAGTCTCTGCCTCCCTCTCAGGAGCGGTAGCACTTTATTGTGTCGGGGCTGTCAGGGAGAAGGAAGGAAAGGAGCTGTAGTTCGACGTCGGTCTATTTCTGTTCGCCGAGAAGGTAGTCCCTGCCTCCCTTCTCTGTAAGTCTCTTCCCAATGTTAAACAGGTTTAAGAGGGCTCAAGAGCCGGAGCCGTTCAAGGTCGACCAATTCCAGGTGAATCCTGCAGCGCGCCCACAGCCAGCATCACAGCAACAGATCTCCTCGGCGGTTGTTTCCCGCCAGAATTCAGCGGGGTATGCGGCTAGTCACTACAGCGGCCAGCAGCAAGGGAGGTTCTCTGGCTTAGGAGGAGCAGCAGTTGACCGTCTTGGGGGGGGAGGGTACCCCGGCGGCGGCTATGGGGGGCCGAGCGCAAGCGCCGGCGCTGCCGCCGCCGCTCTCGCCGCCGGTGATGCCGCCGCTGCAGCGCCGCCTGTGCAAGGATATGGCGTCGGGCAAGGTCTCTCCACCTACGCTCCTCCAGAATGGGCCATAGAACCGAAAGCTGGTGTCTATTACTTGGAAGTAATTAAGGATGGATCTATCCTCGATAACCTAGCATTAGACCGAAGGAGGACTCTATTCGGTAGACAAGCGGCCATGTGCGACATCATCCTTGATCACCCATCCGTGTCGCGACAGCACGCAGTCATCGTGCATCACAAGAGTGGCAGGTCTGCCCATTCCCCATTCCCCATTCCCTTAACCCGCTCGCTTTCTTGCCGTATCTATTCTCTCCCCCGCTTGGAACAAGATTCCTTCCTCTCTCCCAGCCTCGGTTTGGATTTGATTGGTTGGTTGATTGATTGATTGGTTGGGTGACTGATTGATTGGTTGATTGATTGGTTGGTTGATTGATTGATTGGTTCATTTGTTGGGTGACGAGCAGATGGACGAAACAACTTATGACAAGTCTACTAGCTAAGGTGTGATGGATGATGTCCTTGCTGTTCAGAAAAGAGCCTTGCAGGGTCCCCGAACGACGACCGATCGAAACCTTCATGTGGTATTGACATGAATCGTGTAGTTTGCCGTCTTCCCGAGCGCTATGCACCCTCATCATGACTTTTGTAGGACAAGAGAGAGAGAGACAACTTGTATACATTGGTGATCAGGGTTCCTGATCAGGGTGCATTGTGTTTGAGGGAAGACCTTAGTAGACTAAGTACAGCGTTTGTTCATCACCTCCGGTTTTTTGTATCATCCTCTGCCCCAATTCCGGATGCTTTCTTCTCTCTCTCTCTCTCTCTCTCTCTCTTTCTCTCTCTTTCTCTCTTTCTCTCTCTTTCTCTCTGTGGCAACTTCTCTCTGTAGTGTATTACGACCTTGGAGTCCGCAACCTCCCTATGTCGTTTATCACAGTCTGCTATCGTTTCTATTCTGTCTATTACTTAAGTATTACGGTGCGCTCAAACTGGGTCAGATTCTCTCGCACTCTGTCAGTCTTCTATCGTTTCTATTCTGTCTATTACTTAGTATTACCGTGTGCTCAACCTGTGTCAGACTCTCTCGCTCGCACTCTGTTGTCGCTTTCTCTCGAGTTATGTCACAATCGATGTCCCCCCCGCGCAGAGCTGCGCTTACTTCCGCACTCGCTCCACACTTCTGCTCGTGTACTTCCTCTCCCCTGCGGCCTGGGCGCGTCCTGTCGCCCTCTCCCCTCTACTTACACCTCATCGTCTCTCCCCTCCACTTACAGCCTGTCGCCCTCTCCTCTCCGCTTACATCCTATCTTCCTCTCCCCTCCAAATACACAAGTATTCTCCTTTCCTCTCTTCCTCACCTTTCCTCGCACGTCTTTCCTGTCTCTTGCTGTTTGCCCTCACTTTGCGTACTCGTCTCCACTTACGCCCTGCCGCCTCCTCCCTTCTCCGCATTCCCGTCGACTCTTCCCCCGAATAGAACGCACGGTAGTTATAGGTGCATTTAGCACGGCTTTCGGTCTAGATACGGCGCGAATTACCGTGCGTTCTATTCGGGGGAAGACGGGTAGTTAAATCAGGTTCGTGCCCTCCCTGCCTCCCTCTGCCTCGCCGCCACCATTTGATCCATCACCGCTGTTAATCGTTTGTCGCCCTCTCCCTCCACATGACTGTCTTCCCTACGTCTCTTCCCGCTTAAAAATTTTTCTTCCTGACTTGGCCGGCTGCGATTATTTCCATTTGTATACCTCCTGGCACGCATGTCCAATCCAAGAATCGAACACACAACCTACGGCTTGTCAAGCATATCTTTCGTGACACGGCTTTAGTCTTTCCAACGTCTCTTCCTGCTATAGTGTTTCCAACGTCTCTTCCTGCTACAGTGTTTCCAACGTCTCTTCCCGCCTGAAAAATTTTCTTCCTGACTTGGCCGCGTGCGATTAACTCCATTCCATTTGTGTCCCTCCCTACCTTAACTTTCCTGGCACGCATGCCCTATCTATGAATCGAACACACAACCTACGGCTTGTCAAACCTTATCTTTCCTCACACGGTCATGTGCGATCAACTCTCATCTCTCTCTCTCTCTCTCTCTCTCTCTCTCTTGCCGATATGGCGCACAACCTACGGTATTGTCCAATCCAAGAATCGAACACAACTTACGGTCAAATTGTGATTGAAATTTGATCACCCTGCCCGCACAAACCTTTCGGAGCCGTTAGACTATATGGGCGTCGACGCACGGCACTCGAAACGAAAAACGAAACGAGTGCATCTTCCCACAGAAAATGGACAGGTTCATCGGTTCGCTAGAAATAGTAACGAGTGCATTTTGCCGCCTTTCGTGGGCAGATGCACTTGTTTCGTTTTCGTTTCGTGTGCCGTGTGACGAGCCCCCCTACACGCACCCAACTTGTCTTGTGGAGGTGTGCAATTTTCCTTCCCTGGGTAGGGAGGGTGGGAATCCTCTTCTTTATCCACCCAACTTGTCCGAACACTGCTTCGTCTGGAGCATTCGCTGTTTACACGGTTGATTCCCTTCCTCCCCCCCTCTTGTCTCCATTCCTTTCCCCCCCTTTGTCTCCATTCCTTTCCCCCCCTTTGTCTCCATTCCCTCCTCCCTTCCTTGTCTCCATTCCCTCCCCACCCCTTGTTTCCATTCCCTCCCCCCCCTCCTTGTCTCCATTCCCCCTCTTCCCCTCCCCCCCCCCCCCCTTCCCCTCCCCCCCCCCCCCCCCCCCCCTCCTTCTCCTCCCCCCCCCCCCCCCCCTTGTCTCCATTCCCTCCCCCCCCCTGGTCTCCTTATTACAGTATTTACCAGTAACTTGCGCGCCCTTGGTCCTTGACGGCTATCTTGTTTTCTTTGTGTTTTGTTTGCATAGTCTCACTCTCTCTTCTCTATCTCCCTGATTTAGGGTTTCTCTCTCTCTCTCTCTCTCTCGTGCGCGCGCGCTGCTTTTTGTCTTGTTTGCATAGTCTCATTCTCTCCCCTCTACCTCCCTGATTCAGGGTTTCTCTTTCTCTCTCTCTCTCTCTCTCTCGCGCGCGCGCGCTCCCTTTCCATTCTTACGAATCTGGTATTTCTTGCGCGCGCAGTGGCGTGAGTATGTATACCTTTCATCTTTAGCTCTCTCCTCCGTTTTCTGTCTTCTCATCAGCTTGTTTGATCGGTCGCAACTCTTGCTTCGGTGTAGGCTTTGATACCCGACTTCCCTCGAAGACACAAGGCATCATGGTCATGCATGTACCTGCATAAAATGTAGGGGTAAAACTTCGGCGCAGTCACGAAAACAGTTTGTAATTGCACTTCAGGCAATCCCGCGAATACAACACACCCCTACGCGACCCCACCGGATCCGAAATGTAGGTCATATACATTCAGCATTTAATTTACCGGCGGCCTTTTTGACTCAAGTGCAATTACGAACTCAAACCCTGACGGCGCCGTAGTTTTCTCTAAAATGTCCGATACGTTCATGACAAGGGTGCGTTGTGTTCGGGGGAAGACGGACGGCAGTATCTGTCCATGGTTTGTCTTCCTAGGCGTGGAGCCTTTGCTCTGGACGCTGATGACGTCCATTTTTCCCCTTCTCCCGCCTTGTCCCCTGCACAGAAGGGGTGCATCTCCGCTATTGACCGTGTCTCCCTCTTCCCTCGATTCCTGTGTGTACATCGCTTTCTCTTTCTCTCTCTCTCTCCCTCTCTGTCTATGGTTTCTCTTCCTATGTGTGGAGCCTTTGCTCTGGGCTCTGGTTATTTCCATTTTTTCCCCGTTCCCGCTTTGTCCCCTGCACAGAAGGGTTGCATCTGTGCTGGTGATCGTGTTTATTTCTTCCCTCTCTTCCTCTCTGTGTACATCTCTCTCTCTCTTTCTCTCTCCCTCTTTCTTCCCTCGCGCGCACGATGTGTCAGTCGTACTCGATTCGATGTGCCATTTTTGATTGGAGACTGCGTTAGCGTGAACTTTTTCGCTGTGTACTAGATTCTCTACTTCCGATCGAAGACTGCTGTGCGCGCCAGAATCCTGCCGTAACGAATTGACCATCTGCGCCCGCTCGCACGATTGCTAATGACAGTGATGAGATGGTGGCTCTTGCCCCTCGTTCTACTCCTTTTCCCGCCCTTTTTTTCTCGCTTTTGTCCTGCTCTTCATTTTCCCGCTTTTGTCCTGCTCTTCCTTTTCCCTCTCTTTTCCTGCTCTTCCTTTTCCCGCTCTTTTCCTGCTCTTCCTTTTCCCTCTCTTTTCCTGCTCTTCCTTTTCCCGCTCCTTTCCTGCTCGTCCTTCTTCTGCTCTTTTTTCCCGGTCTTCTTCTTCCAGCTCTCCTTTTTCCTGTTTTCTCTTGTTGGTTTTGTTCTGGCATTTTTTTTTAAATGCCGGTGTGTTTCCTGTCTTTCTTTTTCCTGTGTTTTTTTTCTTTTTCTGTCTTTTTCATTTCCTGTCTTTTTTTTTTTTTTTTTTGGGTTCCTGGTATTTTTCCTTTTTTCTTTATCTTGCATTTTGTGCTCTTGGCTTTTCCTTGTCCTTTCTTTCGCTGTTTTTCTCTCTGTTTTTGTTGTTCGTGTATTTTTTTTCCCTTCTTATTTTTGTATTTTGTTCTCTTGAAATTTTCCTGTTCTTTCCCTGATCTTTCTGTCCTGTTCTTTTTCCTGCTCGTTATCCCGCCCTCTTTGCACTCCTTCTTCTTCTTCTTTTTCTTCCCGTTCCTCATCGTGGTCCCTTCTTTCCCATGCTTGGTTGTGCTCCTCTCCCGTACTCGGCTCTGTTCTCGTGCTTATTCCTGTTCTAAGAAGGGCGTAGTCCTGAAGGTAATTGCATCCGACTGGATTCGTACTCATGATCCGTATTTTAACAATGATATGCGTACCATTCATGCAAGGGGGGGGGGATGTACCTGGCTATCAATCTACGAGTAATCTTCTTGGCAGTTGTTGTCGGTATCGAAGAAGGGTACAGATTTATTTCCTCTCGATTCGATTACGACCCTTCCAGAATTCGAGTCTCAAAACAATGTTTTTCTGCTAATTTTAGCTTCAACGGACAGGGCAGGGCTCGAGTGCATGCATACTCACACTTGGACTTTCCTGAACGAATCCGGCGGTAATTGTGACCAGATTCAGTCGAAAAAGTACCAGTTGCGTGTTAGTCCCTCTAAAGTCTGTGGCTTCTCCACCGTGCAGACCGAATTTCGCAGAGGATATCCGGTTTATGTGCAAGGTGGTCGTCGCTTGATTGCACTGTCTGACCATAGTGCTAGGCTGAATAGTACTTTTAAGAACTTGATTAATAATGGATGTTGCATTGAACACGATGACCCACCTGGACATTCATTTCCAGCAGTTGTTACTTAAAAAAAAATCGTACAAGCATCATCAAGGGCCTTGCTGTTGTTTACATCCAGCTTCAAGCGGCGTTTGGGGGGGAAGGATGGGGTCACCTTAGCACTATCGTCTTATCGTCTTCCCCACAACATAACGCATATTCGGTGTATTCGAGTTTTCGAAAAATCCGAGAAATCCGAAAATTCGAGTAGAAGTGAGAACCTAGGCTACCAGCCGGGGTCAGCTTGTTCTCCCGGGCGGCCCGGCCGTGCAAGGACCAGGGAAGGTCCCAGCAAAACGAAAAAAAAAAAGGAAACGAAAAAAGGATCCGAAAAGGAACTATGGCATGCAGAAAAACAAACTGAACAACTTTTGCCTCACGGTCACATCGAAATTCTTTACCAAAATATATATATATATTTTTTTATTTTACGTTTTTTGGCCCGGCCGGGAAAGTGGTCCCGGGCCACTCTGGTAGCCTAGAATTGAACGCATATGCGTTGTATTCGAAAATAAGGGCTGTTCGAACAGAACACACGCGTTGTATTCGAATAGAAAGCAACCTATGTTCGGGGAAGACGGTAGTGCCTGCTTGTGCTCATCAAGCATTCTGGCTTTCCATTCCGGAGGGTGCAGCTAAACTACCGTCTTTACCCTAATAGAACGGATGGTTATGTTAGCTGTATACGACCTGCATCTGATTCCGTCAGGAACGTTCTGTAATGATCTTGCCTTCTATTCGGGGGAGGACGGTAGGCAAGACCATTGCGCGGTGGCTCAGGTCTGTTTGTGTTGGCCGCCTCAGTTGTTGGTCTGAGCTTTGTTCTTCCAATGGGATTAGTTTGCGTGGGATACTTGGCGCTATTCTCCCATCCCTGCTGTCCCTGCTTCCTGAGATTTCGTCTAATAGCCGGCTGTCTATGGGACTTCGACGAGTTTCTGGTGAAAATGAAATGGGATGGACTCCATTCCACCGGTGTGGAGGGACAGCGTACAGCGAGGGGTAGAAGGAGAGGGTATGTGAACGGACCAAAGACCAAAGGGTAGGAAAAGAAGTGGATGGTGAGATGCTAATGCGAGGGTTAGAAGGGTGTAGAAGAGGGGGCCGGGGGGGGTAGGGGTAGAGGAGGAAGTGGAGGTGCAGGAGTAGAACCGCTGGAAGGGGAGAAGCAAGGGACCAAGATGGATGTGGAGATCGCCGTGGAAGAGGAAAGAGCGATAAGTAGAGGGCCGGAGCACAAGGAAGGGAAGAATGAGGAGGATGAATAAGACGGAAAGGTAGTGGTTTGAATGTAGAAGGACGAGGCTAAGAAGCGGACAGGTGTGGATGACGATGATACTCGATGTCTAAGGTCGATGTGTGTGTGTGTGTGTGTGTGTGTGTGAGAGAGAGAGAGAGAGAGAGAGAGAGAGAGAGAGAGAGAGAGAGGAGCGGTTATTGCTAGTGGTGCTTTGACTTGGCCAGGGTTCAATCTCTGTGAATTTCACAGTTCCAGTTTGATGTGGAAAAGTACGTCATTGGATTGATGGTTCTGTTTTCTATGGGAGGGGAGTAGTCACGAATGTCTGATGTTCGTGGTACAAGGGCTTGATTGCACGTTGGAAATTTGTGAGAAAAGAAAAGAAGGCATTCGAGTATGGGTTCGGTTATCTGTGATATGCTGCGCCAAGTGGGCTCGGTTTCCATGTATTTCGTTATTTCTGACAGAGGAAACACTAGTTCCAGGCAGTGAGTGCCGCGTGTCACTAACGCGCCAAATGCAGAAATAGTGAATGTATTTTGCAGTTGTGGCCAGGTTCATTCGCCATTTCTACATTTGGCCAGTGTCTGAGCAAGACTCTTTAGGCCTGGCTCACATCCGCCCTTCCAAGTAAGCTGACAATGCTCGTGTCTTTTTGTTTTTGTTTTTGTTTTAACTGAAATTTGACGAAGACTACTTGTGCATGCCGCTGTTGAAGTTGTCTTTGGCTGTCTGCCTCTCTATTGATACCTCTTGTCCTGCTCACCTTGACGCGCCCCCTCTTGGTCCCTTGGGATTCTCGCGCAGACTACCTACCGAAGATGATGATTCCCTCAGTTCCATGTGATTTGACTTCCCTCCATTACCTCGCCCCACCTGGACACTCCCTGCAAATCTCTCTCCTGTAGACTTGGTACTCACTTCTCAATCCTGTGGACACGCACCATCGACCCTCCTTTTATCTACCACTTTTCGTCCGCTTCTAACCCTGTTTACTGTTGAATGCGGATAAAAGGGATATGATTTAGTTTGGGCGAAGCTCTGCTGAGCTAACTTGGCTTTGTAGCTATTTAGACGTGATAGTGAAAAGAAGTCTGTTGTGAATTGTTTTTCCGTTTCTGGTCATCTCACTGGCTACTGCTTGCTTGGAGAAGCTGTCTGATGTGAAATTAACTACTGTCTGTGTGTGTGTGTGTGTGTGTTTGTGCGTGTGTGTGTGTGTTTGTGTGTGTGTGTGTGTGTGT